CCTGCTGAGTCATTTTCATTTCAGACTCAACGAAGGGGAAGAGGACCCGGAGGAATTCACACTCAGCAGACAAGTGCGCAGATGTGGGCCTGGATTTGGCAGGAGACAGCCCCCAAACACACACACGCACACACGTGCACACACTCATGCACATGTCCCATAGCTGCCCCAACACCCTCACGTTTTTTCCTTGCTTTCCAGGTGTTTGAGGGGTCTCCTCACTCCCTGCTCTCCCTGGGAGGCCCCTCACGGCTCGGAGGGGACGGAGCAGCCAGCCCGGCCCTGCCTTGGTCAGAGGAGCGCTGTGCTTCCCTGTCTCGCTTCCCATTGGTGAGATGCAGACGAGAGCTTGTCCGAGGTAGAGGGGGCAAGAGCTCCCAGCCTCCCGTCCCGCCGCCACCATCACCAAACGCCCCTCTGGCCGTGGGCACAGACCACGCGGGCGACGTCCTCTGCCTGTCACACTGTCCACGGGAAGCACGAGGGTCACATCTGACGTCCTCTCTGGTGAGTGGGACGCGGGGAGGCAGTGGTAGCGGCCTTTTCCAAGCAGAGTGATCTGCTGGGTGTGCTGAGTCCAGTGTCCCTGAGCTGAGACCCGGATGCCCAGGAACCCAGCTGAAGCCCAGAAAGCGTGGCCCTCAGGCTCCACGTGGTGGTGTGTGGCCCCCTAGGAGCCAGCTCTCGGGCTCCACATGGTGGTGTGTGGCCCCCTAGGCACCGGCCCTCGGGTCCATGTGGTGGCGTGTGGCCCCCTAGGAGGCCCTCAGGTTCCAAGCAGAGTGATCTGCTGGGTGTGCTGAGTCCAGTGTCCCTGAGCTGAGACCCGGATGCCCAGGAACCCAGCTGAAGCCCAGAAAGCGTGGCCCTCAGGCTCCACGTGGTGGTGTGTGGCCCCCTAGGAGCCAGCTCTCGGGCTCCACATGGTGGTGTGTGGCCCCCTAGGCACCGGCCCTCGGGTCCATGTGGTGGCGTGTGGCCCCCTAGGAGCCGGCCCTCAGGTTCCATGTGGTGGTGTGTGGCCCCCTAGGAGCCGGCCCTCGGGTCCATGTGGTGGCGTGTGGCCCCCTAGGCACTGGCCCTCGGGTCCATGTGGTGGCGTGTGGCCCCCTAGGCACTGGCCCTCAGGTCCATGTGGTGGCGTGTGGCCCCCTAGGAGCCGGCCCTCGGGTCCATGTGGTGGTGTGTGGCCCCCTAGGAGCCGGCCCTCGGGTCCATGTGGTGGTGTGTGGCCCCCTAGGAGCCGGCCCTCGGGTCCATGTGGTGGTGTGTGGCCCCCTAGGAGCCGGCCCTCGGGTCCATGTGGTGGTGTGTGGCCCCCTAGGAGCCGGCCCTCGGGTCCATGTGGTGGTGTGTGGCCCCCTAGGAGCCGGCCCTCGGGTCCATGTGGTGGTGTGTGGCCCCCTAGGAGCCGGCCCTCGGGTCCATGTGGTGGTGTGTGGCCCCCTAGGAGCCGGCCCTCGGGTCCATGTGGTGGTGTGTGGCCCCCTAGGAGCCGGCCCTCGGGTCCATGTGGTGGTGTGTGGCCCCCTAGGAGCCGGCCCTCGGGTCCATGTGGTGGTGTGTGGCCCCCTAGGAGCCGGCCCTCGGGTCCATGTGGTGGTGTGTGGCCCCCTAGGAGCCGGCCCTCGGGTCCATGTGGTGGTGTGTGGCCCCCTAGGAGCCGGCCCTCGGGTCCATGTGGTGGTGTGTGGCCCCCTAGGAGCCGGCCCTCGGGTCCATGTGGTGGTGTGTGGCCCCCTAGGAGCCGGCCCTCAGGTCCATGTGGTGGCATGTGGCCCCGTAGGAGCCGGCCCTCGGGCTCCATGTGGTGGCGTGTGGCCCCGTAGGAGCTGGCCCTCGGGTCCATGTGGTGGCGTGTGGCCCCCTAGGAGCCGGCCCTCGGGTCCATGTGGTGGCATGTGGCCCCCTAGGCACAGCCCTCGGGCTCCATGTGGTGGCATGTGGGCCCCTAGGAGCCGGCCCTCAGGCTCCTGGCTACTTGGCACAGGCCTTATCCTTAGGGGCTCGGAGCGCTCGGGGGCCTGGGACGTCTCTGTCACCGAGACACGCTAGCCGGCCAGAGCCTCAGGGAGAACGACCCTGTTCTCGGTCCCCACAGGAGGCCCACAGAGACCTTCTTGTGACCCACTTGGGCCTCCTGAAGGCGAGGGCTCGCCCAGTGCCGGGGCCACCGAGAGTCCCCTCGCATCCGAGGCCTCAGCGGACGCAGGCTGGGCGCTTCTAGACGGCCAATGCCATTCACCTCGGGGTGAACAGCACTTTCTATAGACACGCTGAGCTGTAGGTGAAAGCAGGGAACTGTGTCACCAATGACACTAAATGGGGGGGTGGGGTGGGCACCAAGGAAGGGCTGCGGCTGTGAGCTGAC